CTCCTATCTTCCCTAGCGCTGCTCTAGCAAACCCTGGCTTCAAGGACCCCTAACCAACCCTAAGCCTTCCCAGTCTTCCTGAGCTGCTCTTGCCAGGCCAAAGTTGGCCCAAAGTAGGCATGCATGAGTTACAAGCTAGTGGTTCCAGGACACAAGACTTCAAGACATCAGCAGCCAATCGTGTTGAGACTTGTTGGCAGGTTGTTGGATCCAGTGGCCTCCCCAGTGCTCCCTTCCCAGCACTCCTCCAGCATTTCCCAGACCTTCCCCAGCGCTCCCTAGCTCTTCCCCAGCACTGCCGAGCGATTCCCAGGACACCCTAGACCCTGTGCTTCAGGGTTCGTGTGAAGCAGTTTTCGTGCTTGGCATCTGAGGATCCTGAAGAGAGCATAAGAGAGCGCGAAACCCTGAACCCAGAACCTGAACCCCTAAACCTTAAACCCTCAACCCTATTAGACCCTAGCTTCCCCAAGCTCTTGTCCCCACCCCCTCCCCTTGCACCCCCCCCCTTAAAGATGTGAGAATTTTGGCTCAAGTCAGTATTTTCAGTTTTGTTGTCTGGTGCTGTCTGCTGTTTTGTTGGGCGGTTACTGGTCATGTCGCTCGATCCTCTTGGTCGTTTGGTTCGTCGCCTTCGGAGTGTCCGATGACCAGCTCAGCGCAGCCATGCAGGCGATCCCGTGGCAGAGTTGCGCCGCCTGTACTACTTCGCCAGGGAGGTGATGCGCAAGAACCATGAGGAGTCGACTCTGATGGGTCCAGTGAGTTTGCTATGCCTGCCGCTGTGATTGAGGCAATTGGACTGTCCTCTGCCACCTCCTGCTGACCTGGCTGCTGAAGCTGGTGCTGTTCCGGACGCTGGTACATGACCTGTCTTCGTGGGAGTGGCATGGAGTGGCTTGAGGCCATTGACCTCGACACTATAGACGACGACTACCCTGGCTGAACACTTCGCCCGACCCTGTGGATGCTGTGGTTTGCGCCTGGGCAAGTGTCACTGGGTGGCCTGGGTCCGGTGATGACGCTGGTGGCGGCACCCGGCAATGACGGTCATGGTAGCGCTGCTTCTGTGAACACTTCTGACCCTGCTGCCTCCCTCAGGCGCCGTTGTCAGCTGCTCCGGCTCCGCTTGTTTGTCGGCTGGATCGACAGGGGTCTGCGAACAAGCCGCATGCTGTTGCCTCTGATGTGTTTGCTGGGTACCGTCTGCCAGCCCATACTTGGCCGTTGCGGTACCCCCTCGGCGCTCTTCCATGTGTGTTGTCGAGCACAATCACAAGCTCTCGGGCTTCTGTGTGGAACCCTGCTGGGGCGAATGCAGCCACAGCTGTACACGTGCAGTCGCCGCTATAACAGTCGCAAACTGCATAAGAACCATTACTGCGACGGCTGTCGTCACTGATCAGCTGTCTGAGACTGTCTGTGAGTGTGACCAATGTTTGCTAGTGCCTGTCAGTGTCGCGTTCGCATGGTTGTATGCCTGCATCCAGCGGAACTACAGCTCCCTGCTTTTCTCTGTGGCGTCGGCGCCTGGTAGCATCGATCAAAAGCGCCTGGAAAGCCTGCGAAAAAGAAGCTGCTGGGAGATAGGCCCACGGCGGGCACCAGTGCCGCCTTCTCGCGGTTGGTTTTGGAAGCAGGTACTTTCGTGGTGGCAGAGTTGAAAAATGCTGTGTGCGGGTGGACGACGACACAGCTATATGGGGCTCACTCCGCAAGCACGGGGGGCAAGCAAACCTGTGTGCCTGCGCAGCTGAAGGGTTGGACCCGAACAAGGATGGGCTGCCCAGCTGCTTCGACCATAATCTGCGTCATGGTTGCAAGGCTGAGGTTTGGGAGGTCACGGATGGGACCCGTTGCAAGAAAAGCCTGCGCGCCTGCATGCGCTGCGGCGGCAAAGTGACGTGGTGCCGAAGAGCAAGAAATGGAACCATCGACGTTTCCGTCGTATGAGGCAGGAAGAGTGTTTGCTATGGGCGGAGACGCAAAGCTACCACAAGAGACACATGTGTGCGCCAAAGCTGAAAGCAGAGCTGTCAGGACGAGCGAAACGTTTTATCTTGGCCAGAGGCACAGCAGTCCATGCAGCGGGTGATGAGAGACAGGGGTGACACTGTGAAACTAGTGGCTAGCGCCCGATACTGATCCTTATGGCAACTGGATTTCGTCTAGGACATGGGAGGCGAGCCGCCGCAACAGCTGGGATTCCACAGCCTGGTGCGGTACCCAAGGTCCACAGCCCGCCGTCCGAGCGCCGAGATGGACACTAGGATCAGTCACAGATGCCTGAGCTGATCCCTCCATTCCTGCAGGCTTGGTACCTCCTGCAGGATTCGGGCTTGAAGTTGAATTGATGAGAGGAACGAGTAGAAGTGTCGTTGTTCAGCCGCGAGCACCCGGATCGTCAGTTGGTTCGGCTCGGCCTCCCGAGGGACTGTCGAACGCCCATGCAGCCGACTGAATCTTATCCTATCTAGAAGGGGCGAGCCCACAGGCTTCGCATGCTGGACGCATACTTCCCCTCTACACTATGCTGGGGCTCTGATGAGAGGAATGACATCCAGACGCCAGGCAGCCAACCCTGCAGGGGAACTTTGATCCCGACTGCCGGCCCAGTGGCTGGAGACCGAGCTGATGAGGCACTGACAAAAGTCAAAGCCACAACTGCTCCAAGAGGACGAGGACAAGCAACATTAAAACTGTCGAATGCCGAGCTCCGCGATGCTGGGATGACAGACGAAGGCTTAGTGATAGTGGAAGAAGCAAAAGCTGAGGTCCAGGAAGCCTCGGCAGCGCCGCACCAACACCGCCGAACTCCTCGAGAAGCCAGGGCCAAACAGTCCGAGGTGAGGTGAGATTGTCATAAGCCCGTGTACCATGGGATCTCGCAGCGGAACTTCCGACCATTCCCATGGCATCGGGAAGCACAACAAGACCCAAGGCAATGCTGAGTTGAAGTGCATGAAGTGTGGCAGAAAAGGGCACAGGACCCAAAGACGCTGGCTGATCTGGGCATTCAAGGACGATGCAGGTGATGCTTTCGGTTGTCGTACATCACCATGGGCTTTTGTTTTTCCCGATTGGCTTGACTTTGTATTTCTTTAATACTGTGGTCGACGTGTAGTTTTGCTGTGATCATGTGAGGACATCCGGTCGTGGGCAAAGCCCTGATTCCCGCCATTTTCATCAGTGTCGAGGTCTAGACTGTCTAGAATGAGAGTTGATGGCATGTCTGTGCCATGCAAGCTTTCTGAAGAAGACGGTGTTACAACAGCCATCCTAGTTTGCAATTGCTGTTGATATCTGTTGATCATTGCAGGGGAGGCGTCCTATTCTGAAGTTGGTCTACAGTGTCGTTGGACTGGCGAGCCGGAGATACGAGAAAAAGGTCTGCATGCTCCGAAGTAGCATGCGTGTTCCGGAGTGTTGGATCAAGTCTTAACCCCCTTTTGTGCCTCAACTCCGGCTTCAAGTCGCTCACCTTACCCAATTGCGCCCCTCAGCGGCTCACAGCACGCACCCACTCAGTATCAAGCACGAGGCTCTGCACAAAGGGTAAACGGAAGCCGGATGGAATCACCTGCAGGTTCCACGTGTTTGAACATCAAATTGGAGCCCGGCATGGTGCTTAACATGTCTTGGTTTCTGTTTTGCATACGAATACGGATACAAAATATGCGCGGGCGCCACAGCGGGGACCCCGGCAAGTATCCGTGGTGGTAACAAGCCGAAACCAAGCAGGGAATGTACAGGTTCACAAGATGCAAGAACCATGCAAAAGTTTGCCATTTGCAGAGGTAGCAGTAGAAAGCAGCCATATTGCGAAAATTTGGATGGATATGCGTGAGCGTGGGTATTGGTGAATGCTCCGAAGGAACTTGCGGTGAACATCGCCTTGCTTTTGAACGATGTGCCGCAAGAGAGGCCGCAGCCTTACAACTGCGGCTTCCCGAACTGTTGTGTCATGCCGACGAAGGCGAACGCTCTGGATTGACACGTTCTGGGAGACGATGAAAGCCTGGGCCTCAAGCCAGGCTTGGCCTTGAGGTCAGATGTGTCATTTGGCTTTTGCTCGTGTGTTGCGTCGCCCAGGTGCCGTGAATAACGCCTTATTGTTGGGCTTTCTCCGCACATTTTAATCTTGTTGTCTGTCCCGTCCTCTCTGGAGAGCTTGTATTTGGGGACTTTGATTGTTCTCTTTTTGCATTCACAACACACAGTGCGTGAAGCAGGCATGTGTGACGAGTTTGACTTTGTCCGCCGTGGGACCGCTTTGGGGTTCTTATTAACGCAGACAAAACCGATGCAATCCTGCCGGTTTCAGGGGGCCGTGGAATATCCATCTGAATTTTCCACAGTTCGCAATCGTGTTCCCGTAACCGTGACGGGCACATCCATGGCTGTGACTCATCTTCCTGCCACTGTCTCGTGCATTTCCGCCATCTCACCACAATGCTGTGTGGATATTTGGGGTGTGCTTGGCGCTTCCGCCTTCTCAAGTCGTGTTCCTGCCGCAGTGCCACCGGGTTCTGGTGCATGTTAGAACCATAGGGTCTTGGGGCTTTTCGGGTCTCCTGGAGTTCTGGGGCTTTTGCTCGGCCGTACCGCCAGTTTGGCGTTGGTGTTGGATTCTTCTTCGAGTCGCGTGCAGTGGATGACAGCGAGATGCAGTGGAGTTGTTTTTTGGTGGCAGGATTATTGGTGACTTTTCTTGTTCCAGGTCTCCTGGGAGAAGCTGGATGTCCACCGGGTCGAAACCCCAGGTTAGTCAATTTCAATTCTCGGCATTCCGCATGTTATGGCGAACTTGACCGATGCTCGTGATGGCGGCCCAAGGTTCTGCGCATATTCCCTCGATGATATGCCTTTGCATGGTCCCGATCCCCCATGCTCGTGCTAATTGTGGTGGTTGCGAGGATGTGATGGGCATGGTAAGAGCCCTTTTTTTCACAAGGTGCTGTAGTTTTCAACAAGGTAGTTTTGATAATGGATGACCGGCTATGGATGCAGCGTCTCCACCTCCGTTAGACCGCACGCCTTCCGCGCACAGCAGGTGCGACCAACCTTCTGTTGAGCCAAAGCTTGCCGCTTTCCAGAGGCAAAGCCCCTCATTTGTCCCCATCTCCTTGCAAGGACGAACGCCCGCACCAGAATTCAGTGATGTGCATTGGAGAGAAGCCGGTGTGGAAATCGAAGTGGCGCCGGTAGGTACACAACAGCAGCAGCCTGGTGTTTTGAGCGGCACTTCGAGGGACTTGGCCTCAGTGAGCGATGCTGAGCACATGCAGAAGCACGCGAAAGAGAATAATTCTGCATGACTCTGGTGCGGCGTGTTACGGCAGCACTTCTTGGTCCTTAGGCCAGGAGCTTCGACCGCCTGTCCGAGTCGTTGTTTTCGACTGTAGGGGCCTCAGCTCTCAGCTGCCCTTGCCGATCACCGCTGGCAAGAGAGTCTTCAAGAGAGGCAAACAAAGTGACGTGGCTAACCAGGGAAGGCTTAACATGGCTTAACGTGTTGCATTTGCATCGGTCCACACAGAGGTGATGAGACGCTCACGTTGTCCACCTTCCTTCCCGACGATGCTGCACTGCGAACACAGTTGGACTGGACATCACCGTGGGGGCCCCAACTACGATTAATACACAACTACATCCCAACTGTCTAGTCTCTTCATCCTCGATACCGCTGATGTTCATGTGAAGGTGGGAGGAGTACATTGCCACCGTGAACTTCGAATCTCCTTTTGCAACTTCTGGCAACTCAACATATCTGATCGGCCTCATGACCTTCACTCTTTGCCCTTCGTTGGAGGGTTTTGTCGCGACGTGCCAAGAGCTCTCTGAGGCCGGCTAGCCCTGCTTCGGGAGATGCTCGAAGACTTGCGGAGAGGTGCAGAATAGCGTCATGAAGCGGCTGGAAGCTGCGACTTCTGCAACTGAACCGGAAGGAACGCACAAGCTGCCTGGTCGATCGCTGGCGGTGTTGACCCGAAACACCAATGGACCAGTCGCGTGCTTGAACCTCTTGAGGCCAGGGCGGGTGTCATGAAATGGCCGTCATGTGGGCCTCGGTTGCTTCGATTGTAGGTGCTATCTTGCTCGGGGCCAGAGTTCCAAGTTAATCATGATTTACAACAGGTGCCAAGCCGAATCCGCGACCCAACATGACAAAAGCAGATACAGATGGATCTCCAATGATAGGAACACTACCAGCCGTTGCACAAGAAACGTTTGCAACACAGCCACAGACTTTTCCGTCATGGCCTGCATGCCCGGTGAATAGGTCCCTGAGCAGTGGAGTGTTCTGACTGCACTTTCCAATTGAACGTATCCATGTCCTGCCTGCGCAGTCAGGGCCGCCAAGCTCGCTGATCTGTTCGATGCGGTTTGGTGCATGTCCCATGTGCCTGGCATTCCCGCCGGAATCTATCGTGCAGGGACAGATGCTTGCATGGCTGTGAGCACGTGAGACGCTTGAGAACGGCTTCGAGATAACATGCTCACGAAACTTTCCAGAGACATCCCCTGATTTGCATGGCAAGCAAGGACTGGGTGGCATTCGATCCACCACTTGCTTCACTCCCGGATCACAAGGTAGGCATATTGAACACATCGGTGCTCATACTATGAGGCGTCAGTAGGCTTCACACTTTGCTGAGAATTCCTGTGAAGAGTCCAGGCGCACGTGCTGCACAACATCGCGGAGCAACCATCAGCTTGGTTCCCACAGAAGATGGATGGCTCTCTCATGTCGATGCTCCCAGATGCATTGAGGACCCGACAGCTGTGATCAGAATTGTGCGAAAAGATCGTGGGGGTCTTTTAATGGCAGAACCAGGCCTCAGGAGATTATGCTGGTCGATGATGTGCGCACCAACTTCCAATGTGGGGGTAGCGATCCGAAGAAGGTCTATCGCTGCTGCAAGGTTGCACGCGACCTGGCTGCTTAAAGGACTCTTCCGTGTCGGATCGAGTTTTGGAACCGTGCAGAGCAGAACTGGCGGCCTGCTTTGCGCAGGCTATGATGCGCCAAACTTTCGAGATATGGGACTCGTTCGAGACATGGGTGGGATCGGGGCGCACAACGAGGCAAGCCAACTACGATTACTTTGAGGAAAACCAATGAATCCAGAAGGTAAATAAAATGACATCTCTATGTTATGGTTCCGTTTTGACCTACCTTGGACCTCCCAATAACACAATTAAATCAGGTTTTAGTTGCTTGTCTATGATTTTGCCCAAGAAACGCTGTAAGGGTCTCGCTCCATGCTAGCGGAACCTCCCTAGAGACCCGTGCCAATTCGCTACCAGGATACCCCATTAACTCATGATTTAATTGGACGGTTTGGCGGCCTTAGTCAACACCAGTAGTGTATTTGGTGCCTATCAGGTTCGAAGTAAAGCATTTCGAAACAAGTATCGATCCCACCCCTCCTCTCCCCCCCTTGCCCTCCCCTTCACCCCACCCAAACAGGGTGGGTTGTGTCACAGCGCTGCTTCGTTAAAATGACTCAGGTACTGGTATGGCTCGCATGGGCTATCCCAAACAGTTAAACACACACAAGCAACACGAGTCCGACACCCAGTACTCACCACCGAATCTGCCTGCAGCCCAAAGTCCAGTGACACCGCTTTTGGGGTCCAATTTCGAGACTCAGTCGCTGAGCTGAAGACTCAGAGACACATGCTGCCGCGACAGTCAGGCCGAGGACTAGCTAGACTAGACTAAACTAGATTAGGCAGACGAGCCTGGATTGAACTGCACTAGCTCATTCACAGACAATGGATGCTTGCTCGAGTCCTAGCTGAATCAATCAAGAGATCGTCACTGTTTTTGGACATGGCTCCCAACATCACCAGTCAAATCATGATGTACTGTAATTGTGTCGTGTCACATGCTCACGTTCCATCTGCTCTGAATGAGCAGGTCATTACAACCTGATGCTTGCTCCATCTCTACCTGTATCACAGAAGATCCCCACAGCTTGTTCGGATATGGCTCCCAAGATCCCTAACTAGTTCAATAGTAAACATAGTCTTGCATGGCGACTGATGCTTGCTCTAAATTGGCATGAGCTGAAGAAGATCCCCGCGGAAAGTTCGGAGCTTGCTATCCCAGCGCCCAATCAAGTCATGCTTCGAGTGCTGCGTGCGACCGATCTTTAGTGAGTTTAACCCCCAATCCGCCGAGGCCTGTGGCCTCGGCGGATATTCTGATTTAGTTGTTATCCGGCTTGCGGGTGCTCTAGGAGAAGCAGTTAGATCCTGAATTGACTGTGCCATTTGGATAGCAGGGGTCCAAGACGGCCCGATGCCAGGCAATTAATTCCAAAGTTAAGTCGTTTTAAGTCTTGGATTCCCTGCCTTCCTTAGAGTCAAAAAAATCATAGGCACCTCTGACTGAGGTGTGTGTGCAGGGGGAGTGTGGGGATTTCATGTTTTGGTTTATTGTTGCCACAGGTGGCTATGGCTTTCCGGGATTCATCGCACTGTCCTGCCTTGTGCCCTTCCAGGAAGACTACAAGACCGTGGTAGATTTTGCGAAGCGGCCTTGGGCATACAAAGTTGACTGGCGCGTACATTGCATTGAGAAGCCGTTCGATGGCGCAGCGCTGCAGCCGCCGGTGCAATTAGTTATCTTCGATTTCGACAGCGCTCTGACCTTGTACACCTTCATGCCGGAGGATCGTGGAGAGAGCAGCCATGTTAATGCTTTGCCAGCTTTCCTGACTCAATCCTTAAAGGGATTGTAATATGTGAAAGGTTGTTTTACGTGTTTGTTGTTTGCTTTTGGCTTTGGCTTCTTTTCCTCGTGTTTTTTTGGCTTCTGAGTTTGCATTCTTTGGCTTTCTAACTTCTTGGCTTCCGGGTTCTTCACTTTCTAACTTCTTGGCTTCTGACTTTCCTTCTTGGCTTTGCGGCTTCTCGGCTTATCGGATTCCTGGTTTCTTGGCTTCGTAAACATTTTAAGCATGTCCCGCAGACCCATGTAGCGTGTACCAGGTTTTCTATGCTATAGACTTTAAGCAGTGTATGTGTATATGTATATAATATATGTATAACACATGTAATCGCATGTAACATATACACGGTACATGGCAGAGCTGTCGTGCAAGCCTCATATCTCCGAGCTGCCACTGGCAGTGGAGGCGTCGTGGTAGTAGTAGGAGCAGTCGCAGTCGTAGTCGTGGTCAGTGGTCGTCGTAGTCGTAGTCGTGGTGCTCGTCGTCGTCGTCGTCGTGGTCGTCGTCGTCGTAGTAGTAGTGGTGGTCGTCGTCGCATTAGTAGCGGTGGTGGTGGTGGTGCTGGGTGTCAGCAGCAGCAGCAGCAGGAGGAGCAGGACCGCCGAAACTCTAATCATCACACCTCAAGTCGACATGTGTGACCAGTATGTCAGTGTGGTGCAGAACCCGTAGTAGCAGTCATGCTCGCAGTAGAAGCAGCAGGAGGAGGGGTAGTAAAAGCAGAAGCTACTTGCTTCCGGAGTTGCTAGTACTGGAAGTGGTGGTGGTAGTGGTGCTGGTAAAAGTACGTAATTGTCGGAGTACTAGTAGCAGCGGCAGGTAGTCCTAGTCTCATTTTGCAATTTCTTGCAGTAGTCGAGTTATGCAGCACACTGCCTCGCAACGCTCAACACTCGTGGCTAGGCCATCACACGTGCAGCACACTCGCAGAAGGTAGAACTAGGAGGACTTGCGACAATGAGGTGAACCAAAAGCTTCAGTGCAAGACTGTTGCAATGCCACCTAGTGAGTATCATGCACTTCGTAAAGACGGTGCGTGGGTGCCGTAGACGTCGGACATCCGGCCATCCCAACAGATCATCAGGCCACACATTCTCCCACACTCGCCAGCATCACTGATAGCTGAGAATGCTGGAGACCGATTTTGTGTGGAAGGCTTTCGAAGTTCTCGCGCATGCCCGAAGCTCTCTTGTGCAACCTTTCCTCAGGATTCACGATGCAGCACAGAAATAGGCTATGCACCCGAATCTGTGAAGCGGCGGTATGTCCCATGGCTGTCCTTTTTGAGTCGGCCAGTGTTCGGGTGCATTTTTGTGTTGCTTTTCAAACTCGCGACATGTTTGCATGCGACTGGTTTCCACGGGTTTCCCAGGTAGAGTACAACTTCGAATCGCCGTATTTGGAAGGGAGCAGAGTGGAGCAGCTTCAGAACCTTCTTCAATCGTTGTCAAGTGATCCAGAGACGGGAGAGAGGCAGGCCTGCAGCGATTCAGTCTTGCCATTGCGTAACCGTAGGGCATTAGCACAGGCGTGTTCTCGCGATTCTCACTATCAATGAGGCCGAACTGTTGCATCGGACTTCTGCCTTGCATGGGTAAGCTGATCAAGGGCGGCTTTGCTCGTGAGGCTGGGGCTATCGCCGTACTGAATATTCTCATGATGGCAGACCTGGCGAAACATTTCAGTGCAGTGTGGACTCTATCAGCTCGTGTCGGGCAACCTGATGGTGTGTATAGGACCGGCCATGAATGGAGAACGTTGCTCAGAGCATTGCAGCAAGCCTTGTGTCTTCTGGATAGTGTGCAAAACCAAGACGTGCCAGCGCTGCGAATGTCGCTTTTCATAGCAGTCTCAACTACATGCATCACCACCGAGATTAGTGCCCTGCTTTGTAAGTTAGTTTGGCTTATGGTTTCCAAAATTCAAAAGCCCTTTTCAGTCATGGCAGGCAGTGTTGTCGTCATGCCGGAGTTTAGGTGCAACCACTCCAAGACTCGCTCTTAGTCGGGGATCCGAGGCATGCAGCATAGTACACTTTATGGTCGACTGATGTAAATTTGGGTGGCCCTCTCCCTAGACAATAACAGTCTGCAGGAACAAAAAAGGATGCATGGAATGGCATGTATGCCATTCATCGTGAAGATGCTGTGCATGTGCATCAGGTGAACACAAACAGGTGTGTGGCGGTATGCAGCAGTTTTGGGAGGGTGCCTGGAGATTTGCGAGGGCGAAAGAACTGCGCAAGGAGATTTTCGTTGGGCCAAGGTGGCCGCACCAGCACGGCGGGCCCCCTTTGCATCTATAGAGCCCAAGCAGGCCCCGTGTGCGCAATCAACCCTATTCGGCTACTCCATTATCCACCTCAGTCCGAAGCAGTGGGCCTGTGAGTATCAACGTCACCGCTGGAGGGTTGGCCAGTTAGAGCACAAGAGTCAGGCAAACTCTCGCCACAGCGCATATCTCGACCTTTTGAGGTTCACGCTGCCGGTCAGGGAGGCAGACGGACGACACAAGTCTTCGGTTTCTGGGCCGAAACCTGGTGCACACAGTGCAGCATTGGATTGTCTAATCTTTCAGCTTATGTATATCCTTCCCTCCGGCTCAAGTTGCACAGTTCATGTTTTGTCGTCGTTTGTTGCCTTCGCAAGGTGCTGCAGAGTCTTCTTTCGTGTCCGTCGGGATGGTTCCCTCAGATCTCCGGAGGCCAGTGCGACTACGGTGCTGCAGGTTGTAGTTGTTGCACCGTTGTAAACGATAGTCTTTTTTGAAATTTTGCCAGGATGCGGGGAAGAAGCAACAGAGGAAAGACTTTTGTCTGGGCTGAGCCTGGAAAACATTGTCTTGGTCGATGATGCCCGTTCACCCTCGCTGTTATTGGAAGACGATGAGGAGTACGAAGCACTGCGGCACTGTGGCAAAGCGCAATTTAGTCTTTCGCATGAGAATCGCATGCATGCATCGTGCGTAGATGCATGCTGTTCTGTGAATATTCGTTGCCGGCCACCCTGGAGGTTGTAGTCCACAGTTCTCAGGGCAGGGACTTGCAAGGTCGGGTTGCCAGCTACGATGACGAGTACCGTGACCAGGGCCTGCTTTGGCACATGGGAGGTCTCGGCGCGCGAAGCGCCGAGGACTGACAGGGTGTGGAATGGAGAGGGGATTGCAGCTATCTGGGGATATCTGGGGCATGGCCCAAAGGCTAGTGATTCATAGTGCCGGTTCAGTGACAGAAGCGGATTGGAGCTGTTCATGTTTCGCCTGCCTCTCAAGCGTGGAAGTAGCCGAGCCCATTTGCAGCCATGGGCGTGTCGAAGGCGCGTTTTGGGATCTCAAAGTACAATTTGTTCGGAGTCGTGCCTGTCGCCGAGCAAGACGTCGAATCGGAGACTGGAAACTCGAAGCGGGATTGCAAGCTTGAAGCTGTCACAACCCCCATCCCGGTTTGGTGCGACAAGGCATGACGAGGCCCTGGTATGTTCACGTATGTTCAACAAGCTCCGATGATACTTCCACCAACAGCTTGCTTCGTCGCCTCTCTTATTCCGGCATCCAAAACCAATTGTGCAGCGTTCAACACCCTTCCTGTGGGAGGTTATATAAACATGTTAAGATTGGTTGGTCCGCGTCAGCTGGGGTTCGGTGGGCGGCAGTGCGATAGTGAAGGCGTCAGTGAACGCCGAAATTGCCGGTGCATCAGATTCTGCGCAGGGTGCGCCAGCAATGCGTTAGCTTCGGCGATAGCGCCATCTTGTTAGAACAGCATGACAGAAGGGCATTGAATACCGCACAGTTGAGTTTTCAGCCTCATGAGAGCAAGTGTATAATTTTTCCCGGGGTAGTCACAGCAGGCGACCCGTCCAAAGCAAGCCTTCCTTCGCGATCCCGCATGAAGGCCCCAGAGGCGGCAATGCCTCCACATGAGGCTGCGAGCCCAGACATCGCGCAGACTAGAGTTCACGTGCATTCCGCTTGGCATGAGGCATGCTACACGACCTCGTACCTCTGCTTGTTCGAGGCCTGAACACTTGAATAACCCTAGTTGCAAGTTTTGCTTCTCCTGTACCAGGCCATAAGTCCGTATATGTGGTCATACATGGGCATCGCGATTGCGCTGGGAATTTCCGTTCTAGGCCACCAGCACAGGGGTCTTAAGTCGACAGCTTTACATTGCGACTTTGTTTTCACAGGTGCCGCATGGGGTATCTTCTTGACTGGGTCAAGCATCGTGGGCGCGGGCATTAAGGCGCCACGCATCAGCGCCTCATACAGTCAACAAAGTGCTGCACGAGTTGGGTCAAAGAGCAACAGACGATCCCTTTGCGGAATGACATCTGAGGCTCTAAGAACTTGGTGAGCATCATTTTCTGTGAAGCCGTTGCCATCTACGGGGCAACTTGTCTGCAGGAGCGTGGGGTCGGACCGTCTTGACAGCAAGGGGCTAATCGAGTCCACAAAGGTCATCATTGCAATCATCATGGCCAACAAAATCGAGGGCTCTGAAATTTTTGACGTGCCATCCCAGCCCAAGGGTTGGCAGGCACTGGTTTCAGTGTCATGATGTCCAGCTCGAGCAGAAAGTTGCCTGCTTCTCATGCGAACCCGGGCTGAAGTGGTGTTGCGCAGGCGCAGACAATGGTGGCAGGCCTGGCTCCTAGATCAAGCTGAGAATGATGAGTCCCACACCATGCACCGGAATTCTCAAACGTCTGGCAGGCTGGTGCATGTTCTGTGTTGGCTTGTCCGTGGGCTTGTCGAACCTGTTCTGCTGCTCGGCCTCACGATTCATATCTTTCGCGACGTCATTTAAGAAAATCAGAGGCACGCAGTTTGATTTTCGTGGGAAGTCCTGTGAACTCCTTAAAAAACAACCTAGCATGAGGCGGTATCTGCGTTGGTGTGTCTGGAAGCGGGTGTGCTTTGGGCGATGCCCAGCGGCCAGAGCTGTTTGTCCCCACCTCAAGAAGGTGAGTGAGAGTGGCAGCAGTTTGCAATGCTTATCGAAGTGTCTTCGCTTCGCACGCTCGGTTCCAATGACACTATCAGGTCAAGATGTTGATTGTCGAGATTTTTGGCAGTGCTTTGGGGCTGTTTGGTGTTATCGCGTTTGCCTCAGCTCGTCAGCTACTTCGAGTTCATCTTTCTGTGAGTGGGAAGATGCCTGTTCAGGTCGGTATTATTCAGGCTGGCAGTGTTGAACTTAGCTCAGGCCAGATACACCATGTGTACATCTGCTGCAGGCGAATGGGGCGACGTTCCCGAAGCACTTGTCGTGATGTGAAGAAAGGATGCCTACCGGACATCCCAACCAAATACAGCCAAGCTGTTCGGTGGTTGCCAATCTTCCGTACAGTGACCTTGGCAGGCTGACCACAGATACCCTGTGAAAGCGCAACAGGAAGGCAGCGACATGCTGCAGTTTCACTAGGTGGCAATACATGCAATACAAAATGAATCAAGTCATCAAGCCTGATGTAGAGCTGAGGAGGAACCTAGTGAGCACTGGATTCTTGTAGTACACCAGTATACGTATAGATGGCCCCCATGCGCCGGCTTTCCCTTGGCTGGCCCTTATACTTCTGTGCAAGGTCATGGAACCAGTGGTGCGAACAGTTTCTAGAGGAGGGCAGTCTTGTGCCAACCTCGTTTTGAGTTCCCAGGCGCGCAGTGACCATGTGCAGAGAAAAAGTCAAATTTAAGTCATGCTGCGCAGACAGATCGTAGTGGCGAGCTTCTCCACTGCGCATGACCGGACAGGGCTGCCCTTCCAGGAACTGGATGCGTGCTTGGCTTTCGCAACGCCATGGGCCTTTAGTATGATAAGCACTGCTCTTTGGTGCTAGGCTGTCACCTTCCGGGTTTTCCGTGGGCAACTGCGCGTGTCAGCGCGAGGACTACGGTACATTGCTGTCCTTCGTGCGGGCGCCCTGGCATTTTGCCGGCCAGCACTTGACACAGATGCCTTCGCGACCGAGCTTTGGCTTCGCGGTGCGGAATCCCAGACAGAGATTCACTGACTTCGTCTACAGATGCTTGACGATGCTTGGTGCGTGGTGTCTGATAGTTCGGACTCTTAAGGCGATGGACACGCCGCGAGAGGACAAGCCGATTCCCCTTCAGCGCTCCAAAACCGAACAGGACACCGTTTCAATCGACGTTGCTTCACGGGGAGTGGGGAGGCTCGCGAGACAATCATAGACAGCTGACACAATTGGTCGGCGTAATTAGGTCCGAGGAGTGGAAGATAGTGGGAGAGTACAGCTTCATTCTGGACTCTTCCTGGTAACCAAAAGGAATAATGCTGCTTGAGGTCAACATGATCTCAAGTGGGAAGTCTCGGAAGTTGAGTTGCGTGTGACTTTACAAAGGCCACCTGTCCAGGAACAGTGCTTGCTGCAGCGCTTTCTTCAATGTTTTGACAGCGGATTGTTTGTAAGATAGACGTTCTTGCAAGAACAACTAGATTCGGGTGCATCATCGAAGCCGTGTTCCATGTGGCCTCACGACCGCAGCCCCTCTGGCAGGATCTGGCGCAGCGAGTGCCATCCAAAAAAAGAGAGGCGGAGGCAGCAGGATTGATTGATGGGTGTGACGGAGTGGCTGATGGCATCGCGAAATCATCCACCATAGTCTAGTCCGCATAAGCAGCAGCTTTTGTGCTTGATGTATATACGCAGTATTTGCCAAAGACTCTGCAAATCACTGCAGTTGTTTTGAGTGCATTTGCCCGTTCCGGTATGTACAGATCCGATGACAGACACTCTGCAACGGATGTAGAAACGTGCGAGGCAGGTGGAATTGCATTCGGCGAACCAGCCTTGACAGCGAGAAGTCTTGAGCAGATTCTGCCTTTCTATGCTCAGGTAAATAAATATTTGCTGCTGCTTCGAATCGTTCTTGCCGAAGTCTTCAAAGCCGAAGCCTCACAGTTCATGAATGGTCTTCGTCATGCTGCATTGTGAGAATCTCGCGGAAGACTTTGCCGCTGGAATCACCAAATGCCAAACCCCTGAGCAGACAGGGCACAACTGCCTGTGGACTAGAGTAAGTGAATATAAGCTCACACGACAGCACAAGGCTTGAATGCCTTGACTGGCACAGGTTCAGATTTAGTTGTGGTGTCGTTTCGAGTCGACTGTAGACTAGTGGAAAGTGCCTTTTGCTTCAACCTCGTTACTCACGATGTGGTATCTTCGTTGGCAAATTTAATTGGCCTTCGGTGGCTGGGAACAGCAATGCCAACTCCAAAAACCAGGCTAAGGCAGAAGATCATTCGCGCAATTGGGCATCAACGATACTCAACTCTTTGGCTGAGGACCTTCGGACGAGTGGATGGCAACTGCAGGAGGCCAGACTGCAGCATGCACTGTAGTGTTGTACCCTAGTTCGCCCCAAATAGTTAGAAGTCTTCCATAGTCTACCCATGTTGTCGGACCGCGCGAATTGATAGGTGGTGGTATTAGTAATACAGCGACAGCGCCGCTTAAGAAGCAGTTCATTGTGTAGGTCCAGGTGAGGTGACCTTAGATTTCTTAATTTGAAGCGCATGTTTCCTTCTAGTCAGTAGTGGTGGTGGTAGTAGTAGTAGTAGCAGCAGTAGGGGTAGTAGTAGTGTGTAGCAGCAGCAGTCGTATAGGTAGCAGTGGCAGCATTAGTAGTAGTCGTGGCAGTGGTAGTGTTGGTGGTGGTGATGGAAGTAGGGTTGTAGTAGTGGTAGTGGTGGTGGTAGTAGTAGCAGCAGCAGCAGCGGCAGCAGGAGTAGTAGTAGTAGTAGTAGTAGAAGTAGTAGTAGTAGTAGCAGTAGGAGTAGGAGTAGTAGTAGTAGTAGTAGTAGTAGTAGTGGTGGTAGTGG